AAGAAAATCAGTCCAAGGCTCAAACGGCTACTAGCGGAGATATATATATCAAGGACGAGAACAGGGTAAAACGAGCTAAACAAAAAGATGTCTCAATCATTTCTACAGATCAAGACTCTAATCAATTTATTTCAATGTAGACTCAAGGCAAGTTTCAGTTATACAAGAATTCGACCAACTCTCAAGAATAAGAAAAAGGCTCAAAAACTCACTTGGTGCACTATCGTCAAACACATCAACCAAGCATTTCATCAAAACATGTAATCAATGACCATCATCACAACTACTCAACTCAATCGACAGTTATTAACCAATCTTGCCATACACCATAGTCCAAGCTAAAAAAAAAAAAACAACAAAATCCTAAAACCAGACCGGTCCACCACATAAGCATGCAAAATCCAAGTAGACTCCCCCACACTTAAAATGAGGCAATGACCTCATTGCTTCAACACATAACCGGAAAGTCAAATAATGACCTAGCAATTTCATATAATGAACCAAACTAGCAGCTATCACGAGACACAAACTCAAAAGAAAAGACGAAAGAAAAAGAACTCAAAAAGAGAAAAAGGAAAAAGGTGTGCAAACCGAAACGCCTCGAGGAGAATAAGCATCTACGAGTAAGCCGATCGCCTATGCTCAACTCATAACCTCGATACTCCGCCTGCTCGTGCTCATAAATGGTACCTGCCGAGAAAAATCACAAAACTCCAAACTCCCATTATTTCTAGATAAAACTAAAAAGAAGAAAGAAAAATATTTAAGAAAGCAGTAAATCACTTGGGTTGCCTCCCAAGAAGCGTTTGTTTAACGTCGTTAGCTTGACGAAACCTGAAGGGAACTCAACCGGGGTCTAAGAAAAAATGACGGTCGTGCCATGCCTTCGTGTTTTCCAGAAGTGGTAGCATGGGAAGCTTGGCGAGAAGGCTGACATAGTGGATTCGGGTGGCGATGTTCTTCTTGAAGCGGGCTCGGGCACGAGTAATACCCAACTCTAAATGCAGAGCTTTTCCCACACAAGATCTGTTGTCAACCTCCGGAAGTAAGAGCTCATCTGTGGATCAAGTCGAACTAAATCTCACCCACTTCGTAACACAGTGTAGCGGCCTCGGAGACGGATGCTCCAACTCGGAGATGGGAGGAGGGACTTGAGAATCAAGCCCGTGGATCTCCTTCTCTGAAATATCATCAACATCTCGCTAGAGAATATCATTCTCTTCTTCGGCCTCACACATTTGCTTCAACGTACGGGCTCGAGTATCAATCCTAAAGCGGGGGTCTTCGACTGGTGCCTCAATTGAGTCGGTATGTGCTGTAAGGG